GGTTCTGTTTTGCTATTCTATTTATGAACTAAGCAGAAAATTTTAAACTGAAAAACTTTACGAACTTAATAAATTTTATATTTTAAATACAAATTATAATTTGAGTTTACCCATAGTTTCGGTTTGGTAAGCTTAACCACAGGCTATGACTATTCAAACCGCGGAAATGCACGACATAGCGATAGCATGGAATGGAGCTCGTTTAACTTGATAGGACACGTTTGATAGGACTTTAACTTCATACGACATATTTGTAACCACATTACCCACCAAAACATGATCACAGAAACCATACAGAAGTCCACACCTGTTAGAAATTTTGTGGGATTCGTATCAATGCCGATCACTCTGGCCGCACCAGCTTCTTTTGCTCCCATCACAACAGCGAGACCTACGCAGCCAAGGCCCCAAACAGCAACATTTGTTCCTGGTTCAACCTAACGGAAGACGTACAACTAGACAACAGTAAAGAAAAAAGAATTCGAAAAGCGTTTGATGGTTTATAGCAATTTATATATTATAAAAGGCAATTAGCAACTTTCACCTCCAATTATCACCTGGGTATTTTCTTGGCTAACTTATTATTATTACAGCCTCTAAAGGCCGTACATGTTATATGTAGATGTCAGAAACGAAACCCAAGCTTAGCTAAAACCTGATTTATTATCACCCTCAAGTAAGACGCTACCAAAGGATACAACGGAAGACGTCCCGACCTACATTTTTACAGACCTTATTCACGCGCCTGTTCGTTATGTGAGCTTGTTCTGGCATTGGTGTTATCTGTAAGTTTGGATTCGAACCACTTAAACCTTTCAACTATGGTACCAGTCGCATGCATAGCGAAAGAAGGTATGTGAGACGCATAAACTATAAATGCACTCTCTCACCCGGTAGTCGGTAATTTTACACTTTAATAAATGATAATTTGAGAATACTTGGTGTACGAAATCCAACGTGTGAAAAAAACACAGCAATCCACCGCAGTTTGTCGAAGAAGCATTCCTGAGAATGGTAGGAATGCCGGATTCATTTTAACCACTGATCTACATCTATAAGATGAGACAAATATTCCAATGACAAAAAAGTCGTCATACGGAAAATAAAATACAACCCCGATGTTCTGAAGTAGCTATAACGATTGGCAACTTTCCGATGCCGTCGGTAAACGCTGTTACAAATATTAATACCGAATTTACAAGGCGAAACGTACCGCATAAA